AAACAAAGTTAGTCTTTTTATAAAAAAAGTAAATTGTCAGACGGAAATGCAGAGCTTGTACTGCTGACTGTCCGACTAAAATTATAAGGGGTTAAAGTATAATCATTGGCTAATACGTACGGAGTATATGATTAATCTTTCTCCGTAGCCGACCTACAAATGTCGTCGCAGCAACCTTTTCAGAGTCAAGCATGGAATCAACAACAGCAAGAGGAATTGATGCAGCAGCAAGAGCAGCAACAACAGCAACGCTACACTTTCCGTAATCCTACCATATCCCAGTTTGTGAATGATACGTATGACTCAAATCAGCGACCACTATATGGAAATATTCTGATAAACTCGCAACATGAATTACAAGCAGTGGCCCGGCAACAGTCACAACAATATGAACCATTATATAGCTCTTTACAATTACCGTTATCCACTGGTTTGCCAATATATCCTATTTCACAGGTATGTATTGGACGATAGTAATCGGAGCTTGCATGAACATTACTTACCAAGTTTTATTCAGCAACATGAATTACAAGCAGAGGCCCGGCAACAGTTACAGCAATATGAAACATTGTATAGATCTTTACAATTACCGTTATCTGTTGGTCTGCCAATATATCCTATATCACAGGTATGTATTGGACGATTGCGATTGGAGCTTGCATGAACATTACTTACCAAGTTTTATTCAGCAACAGAACGATACTTTGTTTACTGGGCAAAACTTGCATACGCAATCTCAACAACGAGGGTTGTCGCATTATCAGAACTCGAGGCAGCATGAGAGACAAACACCGAACGCATTATTCATGCCGATGCAATCTGCACATGGATTACACCCGTTGCCCAATACGTTTGGTGTTACTCCGGGGCATTACCCGTCGCAGGTTCGTCTAGCTAGATGACTATGAAAACAGCCCGTACAAAGCTCACACTTTGCATACCATTATTCATCATATCCGTTTCAGTTACAAGGAAGCATCCACCACCAAGTGCCTCCGCTACAAAACAATTCTGGTCTTATGGAGATTGATGAAGCATCTTTGCAATCTCAAGTAATCCGTAATCAGCAAGATGAGTCTAATATTGTGTATAATAAGGAATGGATAGACAAAAGTGTTGAAGAGGGTTCTATTCGCTGTTATTCAGAAAGCGACATTACTATGTGTCATATACCTATTGCTGGCGGTGCCTTTGGAGTCGTATATAAGGCAACGATAAAACGCAATAAAATGGCTGTCGCTATTAAAACTTTATATCCGGATGTCCACGGTAGTGAGGAAAAACTGTACAAGAAGTTCATCAAAGAGGTATTCTCGGCCTTTTAACATACTCATAACATGTATTTATAGTTTATTATATGTACAACTACTTATCTTTAATTAACAATTATAGCTGAAAAATTACAAGAAAGTTAGCGGTTATCCGAACATTATTAGACTTTTAGGCGTATGTAAGTATATTGCATTGTTGCACTATTTAAGCTTATTATTATACATAACTTACTATTTATATTACGTATTTCAAAATCGAAAAGACAAAACTGATATTTACCATATGCTCTTCGAGTTTGCTGATGGCGGAACCTTGCGTAAACACTTGATGCAGCACTTTGATAGTTTAACATGGCAAGACAAGTATGAACTTGGCTTGCAGATAACCAATGGTTTAAGATATATGCATAAACTTGATATTATCCACAAAGAT